AAAAAACCTAATTCTTTCAGGCAGCTTTAATAAAAGCAGGATGCTATATTCACAAGCGCTGCTCAGTACTAAAGATTTTTGGAGGAACGCTGTGTTCGTAACTTACCTGCAGCAATTTCAGACCTAGGATTTGATCACAGCTTTCTGCTCAAAGTGCTGCAGTCAGTCCATCTTTTGGAGCTGTTCCCTGTCTAAAATCTTAATCTCACTGGGTAAGGGTGACAGTAGCTGTTTTGATAGTTGAGGTATTCCATAGCTAATATAGGCATAGAACATGCCTATTAATACTATAGATCGGATGTTCGCAAATCATCTGGCTGGCTTAGGTTTGTGAGTTGACTGTCCTCAATGACATTATGCTTCTTACGGAATGGGAGTAAGACAATGATTTTGCACCAAAAATATATTTGTTGGCTGCTGACCAGCTTCTAAAATAAGTGGGACCTGGGGGCAGACAGGGAGGGCCCTGTGTAATTTCATGGAAAAGATTTGTGGAAAAAAGCACTGAGTAATAAACTGTTAGATGAGATGCATACAACTGTCACTATAGAAAAAGGGAACACGAATGTCTTTTTTTTTTTTTTTAAAGAATTCACTTAAACTTGAAGGAGGAAAATAGTATTGGTGGGTTACATTACCACAGTCTTGTTGCAGACAAAGCAACTGGAGAGAGGATATAAGGAAAATGTTGTCTTGTCAGTGTTTTACACTCAGCCCCAATACAATGGCTGTATTCATATTTGCTTACTATGCCAAAATTCCTTGATTAAGGGGAGTAACTCTGGTGTATTTTTAGATAGTGCACATGCAAGTCTAAAAATGTAAAGGACACTCAAGCCTGATGCCAGTTTCATTTCCAGAATGCTATTTTCACTTAAAAAAACCAAAAAAAAAAACCCAAACAAACAAACAAACCACCTTTCTTTCTGTTTCTTCTTCAGTCAATACCCAAACTCACCTTCCCAGGTGGATTATTAATTGGTTGCAGTCCTGGACTCATGAATGTTCCTAAAATCAAAGGGACACATACCGCAATGAAAAGCGGCATGTTGGCTTCAGAAGCCATCTTTAGCCAATTAATCAATGAAAATCTCCAATCAAAAACAATAGGTAAGACTGGACTTTGTCTGCAATTTGTACTTTAATTTGTAATTAATTACCTTGTGTTCAATTGGAACCACCGACAGCTTAGTGGTAACTAAATGTGTCTGAAGGAATTAGTTGGGAATGCAAGTAAATCATGAAATGAGTGTGGTGGTTTAAAAAGATATCTATTCTTTATTTACTATTTATATTGTTAAATGATTTAAGAAAGAAATATTAAAGTTTTGCTTGGTTATTCTTAAGTATTGATCCTACTGCTAGAACAAAAATATGCCTCTAATGAGCATCTGAAAAGTAAGCTTTCCTTTATAAATAGAGAAGAATAGTATATGTTTCGTTCTGACAAACAGGTTAAAAGTTAGTACTTTATGATTCAAAAAGTGTTACTGAAAGACCACAGAATCAGAGAAAAAAAATTAAAGGAACAGATTAAATGTAAGCAAAACAGGGTGAGATTTTTCAAGTTTGCTCTTCACCGTTTTGTTAATTCCTAGAATACTTTTTTCCTTCAGTCCTCTTTTTCTGTCTTTAATTTTATAGTCTTCTCATTTTGAGACTATGTGTATTTCCTATGACTTGCAATGCAAGCAAATTACAGTGATCACCTGATCCTGACCACATTGTGGTGACTTGCATAAGCCTTGGTTGTTCCCTTAAATCTGTTAATGAAGACTGTACAGAGAGAGAACCCAATTAGTATTTCAGTCATTCTGAAGATGCACACTATAGCCAGGTGCCACGTGATTACTATTTTAGGAATCTCTTCTCTGTAGTGGTGGATTCAGTCCTAGTGAGCTCTTGTTCAGCCGAAACATGCCATACACATACTGCAGAGGGTATCCTGAACAATTGAAACTTCAACTAGTGTAACAGGTGAAAATGCTTAGAACCCATCTGAAACAACACTCTGAGTGGGTAGTGTGCCACTCTTGTTTGATTATGGACAGGTTTTATAAGCTGTTTCTAGTTTTGCCAAGACAGTAGACTATTACAGCTCACTTTCTTCTCTGTGCGTAGATAATGAGTTTTTTTCAGAGCCTTACGTACGGGAGACAGACAGTACGGACTGAAGCATGTTTTCATGTGTAGACAAGGCTTAAAACTTATTGTTTACAACACCTATTCCTGTACAGTAGTAATGGAGAATGGTGAAGGAGATGGTCTCTGAAAATTTTCATTTGAAGAAACATTCTTTTTTTTCTAAGATAATTACTTGTCTTTAACTATACTGCAGTAGGTGTGTCGTGTGTCAAGCATGCAACATCTAGTATTTGTAAAGAATACAATCAAAGAGTTTAAATCAAAAATTTGTAGTCTAATATGTCTCATTAACTTGTGGATTACAAAGGGAGAAAAATTGTTCTCTAGCGCTGGCATCATCCATTGGGCTATAGTCAGTTACTGAAATCGGAATGGTTGTGGTTGCATAACTTGTCAAGTTCAAAACCTTTTCCCTTTACAATGTTAACATTACAAACCTGGCTCTCGGTCACAGGTAAACTCTCCTGGTCAATTCTTAGATTTTATAAGCGAGTAGCTGTTTCCCACAGAGGTGCCAATACAGCCACCTGGTTGGTTATCTTTATATTTTGCCAAGGTTTGAGGCCGTTTAATGCTGCTTGTGGGTCATTTAATAGAGGCTACAAAGCAGCAGTAGATAACTACTGATAACTGCCAACAAAACAGATCTCTTCAAGAGGCTGAGATATGTTGTCTAGTATATTCCTAGGTTACTATTCTGAAATTCTCACTTTGCTGCCTTCATTGCTAACAATTGCCTTTATTCAGCAATTATTTTTTTATTTCAAGGATAGTCTCTATGTACTGTAGGTACCTAACAAGTAATCTACTGCCTTAGGACTTGATGTGCAAGAATATGAAGAGAACCTGAAGAAGTCCTGGGTCTGGAAAGAGCTGTATGCGGTTAGAAACATCCGACCATCCTGCCATAGCATACTTGGTGTGTATGGAGGAATGATTTACACGGGTATATTTTATTGGCTTCTGAGAGGAATGGAACCATGGACATTAAAACATCCAGGTAATTTCTTTATCTCCTGAAAGATACTACATGTATATGTCAGTCTTTTCTGGTCTTAGTTGAAGCTAGAGCACATCTGGTCAAGTGGTGAGGCCACAAAGTGTTAAAAAAAAAAAATCGATGGTAAGGCAGTGAAGCAGACTTTGTCTCTTACCTAGCATATTCTGTAAATGAAGACATTGAAACACTATTCTACTTAGCATAGTTTTTGTCTCATGAAAAAGGCTACCTTTTATGAAATACTTCATTCTGATGACAAGGGAAGTTAAAATAGCTTAATTAAATTGTTCTTGAGTAACTGCAAATTACAGTAATTCTATACTGAAACTTATTTATTAAAAATATACTTAGGACCAGATTTTGCTCAGCTCAAGCCAGCCAAGGATTGCACACCTATTGAATATCCAAAGCCTGATGGAAAAATCAGTTTTGATCTCCTGTCGTCTGTGGCTTTAAGCGGTACAAACCACGAACACGACCAGCCTGCTCATTTAACTCTCAAAGATGACAGCATCCCTGTAAGCAGGAATTTGGCTGTATTCGATGGACCGGAACAAAGATTTTGTCCAGCAGGTAGGTAATAAAAATCTGCATCTGAGCTGTTTTTGCAAGATGAAAGACTAAGTACTTCAGGAAGAGTCCACCTGGCCTACTGCTTACTTCAAGCATTCTATCCCAGTCTTCCTCCTACAAGAGGGTTCAAGTGCAGGTCTTAAAATATATTACGTCAACAGTACTTTCATGACGGAATAATTAGTAAACACGGAAGAAGGCAGTTGAATCACACTCGTAATATACTTCCCCCATTACACTTGCTGGTAAGTAGTTGAGCATATGTGCAAGGGGAAACAATTCAGTGAAGTGACAGCTCTCTTTTGCTCTTTGCAGGAGTTTATGAATATATTCCTCTGGAAACAGGAGAAGGATCAAGACTGCAGATAAATGCTCAGAACTGTGTCCACTGCAAAACATGTGATATTAAAGACCCAAGTCAGAACATTAACTGGGTAGTGCCTGAAGGTGGAGGAGGACCAGCTTATAATGGGATGTAAACTGATGGGAAATTCTTCAGTGAGTTCTGATGGCCAACCAAAAAGCTGGAGTATTTTATGCTGCATTGTAATTAAAGTACAGCACTGATGTGAATGTTAGAGTTTGAGGCTAATGTGCCATTCTGAATTTTAGGTATGACCATTGCATTAAATGGAAAGTCGGTGCCTTCTGGTTAAACCCTAGCCTTATTTAAATAGAACTTCTTTACAGGAGTTGTGTGGCAGGCAGAAGAAAGTTCTTCTGAGGACTGACAAAAGGAACTTTGGATCCTGGATTTATTGCTGAAGTTCAGTGATAACATGAGCCATATCCAGAATTGTGGGTATGGTGGAATATAGTACCTACCATTAAAAAAAAAAAGTATTTTCTCTCTCCATCTGGAGTGATTTACTGTATGTACTCCTACTTTGCAGTAGGGAAAATGCATCACTCTAGAAAATTGTCACTGCTTTTAAGTGTTACACATTTTACATCAAATTTACAGTTAAGGGTTTTCTGTTCTGATGATAATAGGGAGCCCATCTGAAATACAACCTGTAAAGTGGTTAAAAAAAAGTGTAATACTTGCACCTTCATTGTATGTCTACCAGCATTTTTATTCCTTACAAGAAATCAGGCCTGCTCTAATAAAAACTCTAACGGAAACTGCCTGAATTGTCTCAGTGTTAAACCAAGCATCTTAGGAAGCACTATTACGCTGCAAAAACACAACCACTACTGATTTACACATTAGAAACACACCTGAGCTACAAAACACAAGTTATTACAGCTTAAAAAAAAAAAAAAAAAGAAAACCACTTCACCTTTGAACAGTTTGTCTTTATTATTAGACTTTTGAGTTGTAAACACTGAAAACTGCAGTAGAGGGCAAATGAACGAAGCAGCTCCATTTATCCTTTCACATGAGTTAGTGCATAGATTTAGAAGTTTAGAAAAAAAATCAAGCAAACATTTTAGCGTAAGCTGCCTTCTCTTTCTCCTTTTGGGCTTTTATCTTCTGCTTGATTCTGAGTGTTTCTGTCTGGATAGCTGCGTAAAAAGAAAATCCATGATAGAGTTATAGTCATCTCTTTACATTAGGTCTTCTAATACGTGAAGACTGGGTCACACTGCTGAAATTTACCATGTTATTTCATTTAATAGAACTGCATTTAATCTTCTATTAGGTCAGGGACTAGCAGCAAAAAAAACTTGTCCCTTACTTTCTTTTACCTGGTAAGGTAACCAGGCAGAGGAGGGTGTAACAAGCGTAGCATTGGTGCCAACACAGAATTTATGAGTTAAAAATCTGATCCAATTAAACCAAGAAATTAAAAAAGTAAGACCCCTGTGAGATAGAGAGATGGTTCACGATGCATGCTGTTGACCTACATAAGCAGATTTCCCAGCGCAACAGAAGCATCACTGCTGTATAAAAACAGGTTTTCCACCTTCACAGGCTCTGCTCAATACATCAGTGTTTAAGCTGTCAGAAGCCAGCATGTTAGGCATCACACTGGTATGATTTCCTACTAAATAACACCCTGGTTATTTTGTTACATTCTTAAAAAAAAAAGGAAAAAATTCTAAAGAAACAGCTTTATTTTACCTTTGTCTTCAGGAGCTATTTCATGAGCCTTTTTAAGATCAGCCTTAAATAAAAGGGAAATATAAATTAATGTTCTGATGAACAGTTTAGATGTTAAAAAAATATATATTAAATACCATGATCATTACCAATGCCTGATCGAGATCTTTTATTCCCTGCCATCCTTGAGCCCGTCTGTAGAGAGCTTTAGTATTTGCTGGATCTATTTTAAGAGCCTGTAAATTTAATAAAATTGTCACATTAACATTTCATATACTTCACAGCCTCCCATCTCCACAAATGGCACAGTTCACACCAGCAGACAATCTCCCCAGTTGGTTTGAGGGTAAGCTGTCAAAACATTAACTGTAAAAAGGAATGGTATATTGTAGCACACTGACTAGCTAGCTAATCAGTTTTAATACCATTGCACCTGAAATGCTCTTCTGTGAAGGATGAGCGTACATGAGGATAAAATGGAACCTTTGTGTGTGTGTGTGTATCTCTATCTCTGTCAAGGTGAAGGTGTTGCTGCAGTTCAAATTATCCTAACCTTGAGTCTCATTGTACAACTCGATTTTGTATCTCCATCACGCACAAAAAAACCCCAACCCTCAAATGGCATCATAAAGGAAACGCGCAGATTTCCTGTAAAGCTTTTTTTCACTGTAGGCTAGAAAGACACATGCAAGCAATCCATCTCATGCATCAGGAACCTTGCCAACTTCCAGTCATTACGCCTTTTTTGAGCAGAATGGTTTCACTAATGTGTATATGCCAGCTCTAATATGACAATATCAAAAGAGGGAATACAATGGCTAGGCAAAGAGATTGTTCCGCTATTTGATTACTTAAATTTTTTATTCAAAGTACCTCAGTTCATTTGGCTAGCTAGGTGTTTTGTTTTCTTGCCTGTAAAGATCACTTTTTTTTTTTCTTATTGCAGATATTCTATAGTGTGCTTTTTTTTTCATTATTTTAAAAAATATAGTTTCTTAGTGACTAGAGGAAGTCTCTTTGCGTGAATGTGTGGCTTTATAGACATTAAACAACGCATCCAGATTTCTTCAAATCACTTCAGTACTGGCTCTTCGTGTATGGGAAGTACTACTCTGGGCACTCATCCTGAGCTGTCCGCTTTAGAGCTGCTTCTGTGTCACCAATTAGAAAATTAAGTGTCAGTATTATGTACACACAGATAACAGTCCTTGTTTTTAGCTCAACCACTGTGCTTACAGCTATTTTAAAGCAAGGTTGGTTTGAACAGATTCAGCTGTTCCTAATTCCTTATTTACACCAAATAATGCTTGTATTACAGATTGTTAATTTAAAACACCTTTGGCCTTAGGAAATCATAAAAGTGAAAGTCTATAGTTTCTAATTAACAATTACCTTGAACTCTACCAGTTAATCTTAGGAAACTAGTATTCTGATTAAAGCATTGATACACCATTTAACACTTGTGATGAGGCATAAGCTAAATACATTACAGAAGTCTGTTACTGCTGTGGAGTTGCCTTTATCTAACAATTCTGTAATTAAAAAAAAAAAAGGAAGTTGCTTTTTTTCCTCAGTGGCAAGTATTATGATTAATAATTTATACCTGTAACACTTAAATGCTGTTCCAATTTTTTACCTTTTTCTAGATGACAGATAATCACATTATACAGCTTTTCTATTTTTTTTTCCTTTCCTCATCTCCCATTTGTCCACTCTGAAGATGGATTTATGAAAGTTTTCAATGTGGTAAGGCTGTCAGCAGGCTAGAAAGCAAGCCAGCTCTCCAAAGACCCCTTGCACACAGATTAGCTGAGACTCCTGCTTTCAGCAGGAACCCCTAGGAGACGCTCAGGATCCTCTGCTAACAGGTAAGAGCATTATTTACTTTGTTTCCTTCAAAATTTCAGAGTTTTACTGAATTACTTCAAATTTCCTCAAATGTACTAAATGCTGTCATTATGTCTGTGTCACTGTTCCTTTTTTTTCTTTAATTCTATTATTTTTCAGTATTTCGATATTTATTGTTTCCTTCCTTCTTTCTTCCTATTCCCTGGTTTCATTTCACCACTAAGCCTATCTGAAAAGACTTTAGTTAGAAAAGTCACTTCAATTAATAAAATACAAGGCCATCAAATCTAAAAGCAAGTAAAATGTTTTGCTCATACTAGTCTTACAGAGAAAAGTATTCCTCTTTCACTGAAGACAGACTGACTCTTTGTAATATAAAAATTAGCTCTGCTCTAAGGAAACAAAACTGACAATGACACAGTGTGTGTTGTGTTTTTTTTTTTTTCTGGCAGTAAGCAACAGCCCTCTTCTGTTTGTTCCTAATTAGTCATCTCAATTTCAAAATCTTTTAAAAAAGCCACATCCTGGAAAGTTAGTAATTCTACTTTGTTTACTTTCAAATCATAAGCTGGTCAGAAAAACTCTTCAAGCTTTGTTGTTTCAGTCCCCATTTTCTATATAAGCTAATTGTTTATCAAAATACAAAACATTAAATTTACCTCTGAACAACTTTCAATGGCTCCCTGCCAATTGGACAGTTTTAGTTTACAAGCGCCGATGTTCAAAACACAGGTCAAAGCAACAGCCTTTAGCTTTGGTTTGTCTGCCTCCTCTGCCACTGCTTCAGAAGCTTCTACATACCTGCAGAAAAACAGATTTACAAAGAACTTGTATTAGTGTTGCAACTTCCATTTTGTTCTGTCCTTAGCTATCTGTCCGCAGATACGCGTGAACTGGCCTCTCCAAATTGGTATTTTTAAAGCAGCTTCAATTCCACTACTACAAATATTTATTAAACTAAATGTATAAGACCTACCCTGACAAAAAAGATGAACTCACTGGCGAATGTTTTCCTGTCTCCGCTCTACTAACAGACTATTCTAGATGGCGTGAAATCATTAAAATTTATCTATCTCAACGACTTGATTCTCAAAAAACATGTTGCTCATCAGTGGGAAGAAGTCAACACCACCACTGCACCTTCCTCATTCATACAAACCTTCATCTCTTCTTCAGTTCCCTCAGTAATATTTTAATTAATTCAGGCATTCCTGGCTAAAAGCTGAAGCTAACTTCAATTTGTAAAGGAGGGTGTTTTATGAGCATTTGTAAGTCTACCTTCTTTTCACTGTCTTCCTTCATGACTTTTTTCCTGAGCTTCAAAACCGACACTGGTTCAGGACTAAGCCACATCATTTACTGCATCTGTTTCATAGGCAAACTGATAAGCAAGCTGCACCTCATTCTTCTTCATTTACAATGTGCTAATGCTGTCAGTTTTTCATTTCAAGTGGCAAAGGTCTGTTGTGGATATAAAAGTCCTAACTCTTTTAATGGCTTACTTGATAGAACTTCTGTGGGTTTTATTTAAAAAAATAAAAATCATGTGTTTGCATGCCTTTTAAGCATGCCATGATCAATGCAGTCTTTGCAGATCACTGCCTACCTAAGTTCAATTTTTGCATGCCCTGTCTTTAGAGTGTTGCATGGTTTGTATACAGCTTTGGACCACAGAAATAAGCAATACTTCAAAAGTAAATTAGATATAGTCCCAGTGATTTTTCCACTTGCTGGGCATCATGCAAAAGATGAGAACCAGAAAAGAGAGAAAACAGTAAAAAGCTAAGGACAGTTATAATACAAAACTGTGTTATGTTCAAAACAAACAGAACACACTTCCAGTATTTATAAATCATAACACAGCATGAAAGACTGCAACCACTCTGGAAACAAAATTAGAGCTTCCAAGTCAAAGAAATCAGTAAAATGAGTATCAAGGGGAAGAGTAAGAAAAAAAAAAAAAGCGTCAATTCTTACATATAAAATAAATTTTAAAAACTGGTTAAGCAGCAATAAGGCAAGAAACAGAATGGAAGGTTATAATGGTTACTGTTGGTAAAAAGAAAAAAAACAATATTGCCGGATGGTTTCCTATGTGAGTTGTACGTAAGACATAGGAGATGATGAGAGCTACTGATGATTCCTATCAGTTCTGGCCAAGTGCCAGCTAAAGTACACCATCCTACATAAAGTATTAGATTTTAAGATACAACAACAGGGTGTGTCCACAAAAGTATGACATTATAAAGAAGAGCTAGAATGATCAGATTTGTTTAGTCTAGAAAGGTTACTATCCTTTCTATCCACAAGGACAAATAAGCACCAAATACAAGCTGTCTGCTCAGACTGGAAGAGCCTTCATTTGGTGTGCTGAAGAGCGAACAAGACAACTAATTGTAAGGGAATTCATAATTATACCTGATATTTACCTAAGAACAGGGGGAGGAAATGGACAGATACAACACAAAATTCCTTAAAGATCTGTTCCAGCTGATTTCTAAAAGGTTTACATAGAAATCCTATTTAGTTCAGGGTTTCTGTTAGTCTGTGATGGGCTTTTTGAGGGTAAGGGGAGACACTGCATCTTGGGTTAATACCTGTAATTAAAGAATTCATTTTTATGTTTCAGAAAGAAGTACTTTCTTTGAAACCCAGTCAGTTAAAAACCTCAGCTCAAGCATTAACTATGCCTGAAATACTTTTCTTTCGTTATTGTTACTGCTAGTTAACCAGTGATCATTAAGAAGGTAAGGATAAGTCAGTATAACTTAAAAGTTTTTAGGAGAAGCTCATATACATTTTAGGAGAAGCTCATAAGCACGAAAACAAGAAAGGAGCAGTATGGAAACAAAAGCAGAAAGAAAGATCATGATTTTGAAAGCAAGTCTGAATTATACATGGAGTCAGGATGATGGTATGGAGCCTCAAAAAAAAAAAAAAGATAATTAAGAAGGGTCACATTTGGGGCACACTCTTGAACTTACCCATTTCCTAAACCTGCTGTTTTTCAGGAATCAGAGAAAAAGTATTTCCCTCCTTTCCTGTCCATTAACTACCCCATGTATACTACTGTGCTTTTCTTCCCAGCTATGGCCAGAGTATTAAAAAAGGAACACTTAGTCTGTTCTAAACAGTACTTCCTGCCTATAGCTCTTACCCAGCAATGAGTAGAAGACCTACTTGAATGAGTAGCTAAAAATCAACCAAATGTCTTCCAGATTCAGAAGGCTCTTTTTAAAAAAGAAAGAAACATAAAAGAGCACAGCAACAGGCACTTTTTAAATGCACGCATCATTGCTTGATAGCAGTATTAATTTGGGTTATAGGAACTACCTGATTGAATGATGATAGCCTTACCGTAAACTTTTACTATACTTTTTAGCTGCCATTGCCCAATTTTGCGATTTGAAGAAAGTATTTCCTATATTCTTTATGTCTTCTGCTATGGCCACAATCTTGTCAACCTAATAAAATAGATGGAAAATATAAAGTATGAATGTACTTATGAAAGAAGTCTTGAATTACTTAATGTTTAACAGTAGGATCCCATGTCCATTCTCTTTCAAAGATTATTATAAAGTCTCAGAATAAAAATATTCCAATTTTAGACAAATACTAGCTTCAAACCACTCCTGTAGTATTCTCTACTTTATGTAACACAATAGTCTGAAAGATGAACTTCCTAATGGGTTTTCTACAGTATAAAGGGTGAGAAAATACCACAGACAACACAGCAGTTCAACTCCTTCCCCTAAATGCTGCTACCCCCACAGAGCTATATATAAAGGTGTTGACCATTATTCATAGCAAGGACGACGTTAACAATCAAAATATTCAACCAAGACTGCCTTATTGCCGAGAAAATTTTGTCTTCTGCTTCTCGAAATTAGTCACCTGATCTCTGCACGCTCTCAAACTAGAAGTCATATCAACATAATTCTTCTCTCAAAACATCTATGGAAGGAGAAAAAGAACAACAGCCTGTCTTGACCAAATCCATCATTTCTGTTTCCAGAATGGCATACGTTTCAAGTGTTAAGTTACTTTTCCAGTGGCAATAAACAGTTTATAGTTACTGCTGTCTATACCACAGTTGTCTTAAGTTCCGTCAAATGTACATATTGCCATTTGTAACACTATCGGTTTACACTTCTACCCTACTAGAATTAATGACCTTGAAAAAAAAAAAAACCAAAACAAAACTGATCACAGCTTGAGACCAATGTCACCATGGTTTTTGTAGTTAGTTTATATGAACAAGTTCAAGGTTAAAGGAGGCAGACATCTGCCAACTTCAGTTCTGAATCACAGCAAATGCTATCCGAAAACCTTTTCACAAGTTGAAGTGCTTCTCAACAGCCAGATACAAGGAGTTCCCGGTTTCTAGCATTTTGTTCTAATGCTAGATTAAGACCATTCTAATTCTGTATGTGGAATCTACACATGCAGCCCCTTTTTCTTCCCCCTCTCACAAAACAGTATTTGATTTACAGTTTGTCTATTTCATTTCCATGATAAAGTAAAAACCTGCAGAAGAGCTGCTTTCACTAGTCTGCTCCCTAACTCTTAACAGGTCTTCCTTCAGTTTGAACAACTTGAAAAGCAAACAACTACTTGGAATTGAGAACGACCAGCTCTGATGTAGTAAAAGTCTTTTATAAAGGTTCATCTTTTATTATTTCCAGTAAGTGAGACAAAATCTTTTTAAAGGTGGATATTTAAAAAGTTGCACAGAAAAGGTGTGTGGGTACAACATTAAGTTAGCCATTGGTAGGATGCAGTTCTAGTAATTGCAATTTGTCACTACAGCACAAACAAAAGTGAAAAGTAATGAAGAACAGAAAGAAATTAAGTGTAATAATTGTAAGTAATTGCATTTCTAGTTACTGGGGAAAAAATCAGCTGCAATTAGCACTGAAAAAAGATATAACAATAACCTCCCACAGCATTCTCTTTCCTAAAGTTGAATGTCACCGTTTAATCAGGACCTTAATCAATTCTTAAGAAAAAAGGCTTAGGGAACATCATCACAGACCCCATGTAACTCAGATTACCTACAGGTCTTGCATTCTGTAAAATACCTTAGAAGAAAAATACTTACATCTTTCAAGTCTATATCTGAATCGTCAGGAAAATCTGGATGAGCATCTCCAGATCCATCCTGGGGAACAATGCCCAAGTCATCTCCTTCCTTTAGCTCCCCACATTCTGCAATGACGCACAACTGAAAAAAATAAAGTGTAAATAGCAGTACTGCTTATTAAGACAATTTCCCCCCAAAAAGCCACAGCTTCTGAGTGCTCTTTGAAATTCAGTAAAAATGCTTTTTCATCTGTTGTTTGGGTGAGTTGACTTCAGAAACCCATCGCATCATTAGCCCATCCTCATCAAAAGGCTTTTATCACAGAAAGGAGGAGCAGCATTATTATTATCAGAGGAGCAGCATTCCAAGAACACCATACCCACGCTCCACGGAGAGGCTGGAAGAGGAACTGGAAGCAAGCTGAGCTGCAGCAAAACACAAGACATGGAAGTTCTGCTACATTAGAGAAGATGGTTCTTTCTCAGACTGCCAAGTCTTTTGAAGTTACACAGGTATTAATTTTTCAAACCACCACAAACTGACATGACCTCCACACCAATTGCTTTTCCAGAAATACAACAACTTCTGACATAGAATTCATAACAATTGCATATCACTTAGGTAGGGTTGTAAATTCCACCTTTTATTTTCGGCACCCATCCTACACTTCTAGCTGTGCATTTCCACCTTCACCTTGCTGATGGCTTCCACCCTCACAGCTGTGCTGAATAGATTGTTTGTGCAGGGGAAATTTACAGCAAAAGAATAAAAGCCTCTTAATAAGGACAATAAAATGGAAATTAACATTGTTAGTAAAAATAACTGGTTAACATTTAATAGTTCTAAACATTACACCAAGCATTTGGAAGAAATTAATATACATCATATAATGGAAGAATAAACATAATCCCTAAGTGCTTTGGATGTTGCTTACCTTAGCAGGATTTTCTCCTTTTACTTCAACATTTTCTAATATTTTAACTACACCCATTCCTTTGATCACTTGGCCAAACACCACATGCTTCCCATCCAGGTGAGAAGTAGGCACCGTTGTAATAAAGAACTGAGAGCCGTTAGTACCAGGTCCTGCATTTGCCATGCTCAGGAGCCCTGGTTTATCATGCTGCATTGGGGGGAAAAAAAAAAAAAATCACAACCAACATATAAAAGATCTGTTCTAAAACCGTACATAAGATTCTGTAAGGCTATTAATATATATAGCAAGGACAGCCATAATGACAACTTGGTAAACCAGACAGTTACATCAGTTGGCAACTAATTCTACCTATCATGACTGAAGATGGCAAATTGCCCAGCTCTGCATCTTTACTTGTCACCTAGCAGTCAGGCAAGCAGAGCCATGTCTGTGACTTGATGCTGTAACTTCTGTCTGCTTCTTGTACACTCAATCCCCTGCACAGCTGCTGGGTTTAGACAGATCACCTGAGAGATTTCTGAAGTTCCTCACTGGGTTATTCAAGACCAGTGGCCTCAAGAAACAAAGCAAAACACCACTTAAACCAACTTTAACGTTACACTGTCAGGACGGGTAGGGGTTGTTAATTTTACAAGGCCTACTCACACAAAGTATGTTGTAGAACCATGGGTTTTAGGGGACTGTGGTCTTTATTATTTAAAGGTTGGTGAGTTGTTTTTTTTTTTTTTAACTCCTTCACTTTTCCTAGAGAGACAATTTTTATTCTGTTGGGATTTTTAACCATCTAATTATTTTAGCCTATGCTACCAGGCCACAAACTAAGAAAAATTTATTAAACAACCCAACATGAGAAGATATTGTTTATTTTGTTTCCCATAAGTACTTCTTCCTTCTTTGAAATGAGAATTATCTTGCTCCATCACATAGATTATTTCATTTTCACTTGTACGGCAAAAATGTACTTTTCATATATGTTGTGAATCTCTTGTTAAACTCGCACGACACTGTCATTAAGATATTATTATCCCCAAGTTTATCTGGTTATTAAGTGCAAGGAACTGTGTTTAATGCAAGTCAGTATGTCATACCATGTCACTGGTACACGACTGAAGGACGCAAGCTGTGGTATTCCTAAGAAACTTGATGCTGTGGGGAGGAGCAGAGGACAAAAAAAAAAAAAGTTCAACAGCACAGAGGAGATGGAAGCTGAAACTGATGTGAAGCAGACCTTGAGCTCAATGGGAGGTTGATTAGTTTCATACAACAGTCTGAGACAGCTGTATTTAAGCATCTGGTTTGTCCCTATAGTTTATACCACTTTGAAGAACCCGTTGATTTGAAAACTGTTTTCCCACAGAGTGTTCGGATTTTCATGGTGGTAGGGAGAACTCCTTGCCTGATGTGTTCATATTATAGAATCGTAGAATGGTTTAGGTTCAAAGGGACCTTAACAATCATCTAGTTCCAACACCCCTGCTGTGGGCAGGGACACCTTCCACTAGACCAGGTTGCTCAAAGCCCCATCCAGCCTGGCCTTGTTCACTTCCAGGGATGGGGTAGCCACAATTTCCCTGGGCAACCTGTTCCAGTGCCTCACCACCCCCTTTAGAGGAGAAGCTTCATCAAAAGAATAAAAAAAAAGTCCCTCTCCAGCCTTCTTGTAGGTGCCCTTCAGATACTGGAAGGCTGCTATACGATCTCCCTGCAGCCTTCTCTTCTCCAGGCTGAACAACCCCAACTCAGCCTCTCCTCATAGGAGAGGTGCTCCAGCCCTCGGATCATCTTTGTGGCCCTCCTCTGGACTCACTCAACAAGTCTATGTCCTTCTCGTGCTGACGACTCCAAAGGCCAAACACAGTACTCCAGGTGGGGCCTCACCAGAGCAGAGTAGAGGGGCAGAATTACCTCCCTTGACTTGCTGGCCACACTTCTGATGCAGCCCAGGATATGGTTGGCCTTCTGGGCAGCAAGCGCGCATTGCTGATTCATGTTGAGCTTCTCATGTACCAACACCTCCAAGTCCTTCTCCTCAGGGCTGCTCTCAATCCATTCTCTGCCCAGCCTGTATTTGTGCTTGGGATTGCACTGACCCACATGCAGGACCTTGTACTTGGCCTGGTTGAACTTCATGAGGCTGGCAAGGGCCCACCTCTCAAGCCTGTCCAGGTCTCTCTGGATGGCATCCCTCCCCTCCAGCGTGTTGACTGATGCACAGAGCTTGATGTCATTGGCAAGCGTGCTGAGGGTGCACTCAGTCCCACTGTCCATGTCGCCAACAAAGATCTTGAACAGCACCAGTCCCAGTACTGACCCCTGTGGAATGCCACTCGTCACTGCTTACCACTTGGACAGGGAGCTGTTGACCGCAACTCTTTGAGTGTGACCATCCAGCCAGCTCCTTATCCACCAAGCAGACCATCCATCAAATCCGTGTCTCTCCAATTTAGAGACCAGGATGTTGTATGGGACAGCATCAAACGCTTTTCACAAGTCCAGATAGATGACGTCAGTCGCTCTCCCCTTATCCACCAACGCTGTAACCCTGTCATAGAAGGCCACCAAATTTGACCTGCCCTTGGTGAAGCCATGTTGGCTGTCATCAATCACACAGAATGGTTAGGGTTGGAAGGGACCTCTGGAGATCATCTAGTCTAACCCCCCCGCCAGAGCAGGGTCACCTACAACAGATTGCACAGGACAGCGTCCAGGCGGGTTTTGAATGTCTCCAGAGTGGAAGACTCCACAACCTCTCTGGGCAGACTGTTCCAGTGCTCCACTACCCTCAAGGTAAAGAAGTTCCTCCTCATGTTAAGATGGAACTTCCTATGTTCAAGCTCGTGCCCATTACCCCTCGTCCTATCACTGGGCACCACTGAAAAAAGACTGCTCCCATCCCCCTGGCACCCTCCCTTTAAGTATTTGTAAGTATTCATAAGATTCCCCCTCAATCTTTTTTTCTCTAGACTAAAGAGACCCAAGTCCCTCAGCCTTTCCTCATACAAGAGATGTTCCAATCCCCTCATCATCTTTGTAGCCCGTTGCTAGACCCTCTCCAGCAGATCCCTGTCCTTCTTGAACTGGGGAGCCCAGAACTGGACGCAGTATTCCAGATGCGGCCTCACCAGGGCAGAGTAGAGGGGGAGGATGACCTCCCTCAACCTGCTGGCCACACTCTTCTTGATGCACCCCAGGATGCCATTCGCCTTCTTGGCCGCCAGGGCACATTGCTGGCTCATGGTCATCCTGTTGTCCACCAGGACTCCCAGGTCCCTCTCCACAGAGCTGCTCTCCAGGAGGTCAGCCCCCAACCTGTACTGATGCATGGGGTTATTCCTCCCCAGATGCAGTACCCTACACTTGCCCTTGTTGAATTTCATCAGGTTTCTCTCTGCCCAACTCTCCAGCCTGTCCAGGTCTCGCTGTATGGCGGCACAGCCTTCTGGTGTGTCAGCCACTCCTCCCAGTTTTGCGTCATCAGCAAACTTGCTGATGATACACTCTATCCCTTCATCCAGATCATCAATGAATCTGTTGAACAGGACTGGGCCCAGTACTGACCCGTGAGGGACACCACTTGTTACTAACCTCCAACTAGACTGCACCACTAACCACAACCCTCTGAGCTCCATCTGTAAACCAGTTCTCAATCCACTTCACTGTCCAATCATCTCCTCATTTTGCATGTGCCTTAGCATAATTTCCAGAAGGATCTGCTCCATGACCTTGCTGGGCACAGAGGTGAGACTGACTAGCCTGTAGTTCCCTGGGTCTTCCTTTTTTCCCTTTTTAAAAATGGGGGTTATGTTTTCCCTTTTCCAGTCATTGGGAACTTCACCAGACTGCCACGACTTTTCATATATAATGGAAAGCGGTTTAGCAACTTCATCTGCCAGTTCCCTCAGGACACACAGATGGATTTCATCAGGTCCTGTGGACTTGTGTACCTTCAGGTTCCTTAGGTGGTCTCATACTAAATCTTCACCTACAGTAGGCAGTTCTTCATTCTCACAGTCCCTGCCTTTGTCTTCGGCGACTTCGGTGGTGTGGTTAGAGCCCTTGCCAGTGAAGACCAAGGCAAAAAAGTCATTGAGTACCTTAGCCTTCTCCGTATCGTGGGTGACCAGGTCTCCTGCTTCCTTCTGGAGAGGGCCCACATCTTCCCTAGTCTTTCTTTTTTCACTGACATAGTTACAGAAGTTTTTCTTGTTGCCCTTGATGTCCCTGGCCAGATTTAATTCTATCTGGGCTTTAGCTTGTCTAACCTGATCCCCGGCTGCTCCGACAGTTCCTCTGTATGGCACAATGAGTCGGAATCTTTCAACCAGGATTTGGCTTAGGAACTCTGGGAAAAGGTTGTACAGCTGAAAGCTAGAATTGCACCTACCCAACAGAAAGCTACTGGAATAATCTTGGCTTTGTCTCTTCTGATCTTGAAATTCATCCTGGGAATGACAGAGTGGAAGACGGCGTTCCACAGCAAGAGAAGGCATCTGATAGCAAGTCTGCAAGAATGCAGCCTCCAAAACAAACACCTGACATTTTGCATCATAGTTGCTAGCAAACAAGTTAATCAGACAGGGTTCCCCCACAGGAAATTTTTGCAAATACCATTTGAGGCTGGTCACTGATTCACTGCCCACAAGGCAGAATAAGACCTGTAAATCTTACCTTTTTTTTTTTCAGTTACAACTAATGCTAGACAGCAATGGTTTGTAAACAAAGAGCCAATTAACAATAAGCTATGGTGCTGCCTTATGCCTGCATGTTTACCTTTTGTCTGTAACAATTTGGAGGACAAGTTGGAAAGTTACAGACAGCAGTCTGGTGACCCTGATCATCACATGCAATCCCATTTCATTTGGGACCAAGTCTCAACATTAGTCCCATGATAACAGCCCCGATTTATAAACAAAATTGCTGTCACTCATGCATTTTCTTGCCATGAGTGTTTTGAAAAACACTGCAGATAGACAGAAGGTCTTTCCCATGATGGCTTCTGCTTGTCGTTTTGTAGACTTATAAAGCAAGTAAAAAAGACTGGACAAGATCAGATTCTCTGACAGATTCAAGGCTTGCAAAAGTATGCCATGGTAACAACACTGATTGAGGACTGTGTAAATTGCGTGTTCCTCAACAGCACAGCTACTAGCTGCAGAAGTGACACCAAAAAAAGCCTAGTGGATTAATCCGACATAGTAAGATGACAAAGTCCTGCAGTTTACTGCAATTTACAGGAAACCATACAAACAACACAAGAACAAACAAGTAGCTCCAGTGTCCTCAAGTGTGAACAAAAGCAATTCATTGTTGTCTGAGACAGAGGACACTGAAGGACTACTAGATTCAGTGTAAGATTCAGGGATAGTAGAGGCATCTTCACTCCCACTAAAATCCTAACATACTTGGCCAACAGATGATTGGAATAGAGCTCCCGGACTCTGTACAAGTGAGTTCTTCAACTCATCTCTGGCACATTGACAACTTTTGCTATAGCTGAGCAGTCAGAGAATTACAGAAATGGGGATCATCTGCATTCCATTCGTCATTACTTCCAGATCTCACTTGACAGTACAACCAAAACAGTGACAATGACAGAGCCTCTTTCTTCAGGGAGCTAGAGATCCTGTGACAAGGACCAATGCAGAAGGGTAACTTTAAGCAGCAGTGCTATAAGCACCACCATAGCAAGTGTCAGAGTACAGAGAACATCTCTCTCAACTGTAATTAACTCCATGATGAATTCTGGAGCTACATTTCCAGCTACTGCTCTGAACTTGGTCATGGACTTTGATGCCTGATTAGTGGAGGATTGCCATATTTTCTTCTCCTAAAATACTGTTTGGAGGCAACCACAATTGCAGTCAGGGCTTTGTTTTAACCACAGGACAATGATGTCTGTAAGTTTTTTAGTGAGTGTTGTTGAGGAGTCATTTGTATGCTATCACATAACAACACAATATGAAAATTGTTAATTCCAGTGCTGAAAATTGTTACACTTAAAGCAGCGGGTGTTATGGCTGTTGTAAGGGGTACCTGTGGAACATGTTATTTTTGTTGTTCCCAGGCAGTACTCCCACCCAGGTTCAAGATGTAATTACTGATTAGTTCAAGCACAGGGGATTTCTTCCAGCCACGCAGCACTTTAGGTACAGCTGAGAACACAGATGGGCACTCAGAACAATTATAATGGTTGCCACTTTTCTCCAGACTAGCTAAGTCTGCTAGCCAAAAAATGTAAGTCACACTGTACAGGTAATACTTAAATTTGGAGATCACAGAATCATAGAATCGTCTAGGTTAGAAGGGACCTTTAAGATCATCAAGTCCAACCATCAACCTAACACTGCCAAAACCACCACTAAACCAAGATCCTTTGGTCCTGAATGGCAGCATACAATGCTGGGACAGAGGTGGACAGGTTCCAGGTGCTCTGATCTTACAGGTGAGCAGCACTTAGGGGGTCACTGCACCCTACATAAGAAAAGCAAACCCATAAAGGTGTCTTACTTCTTACTTAGATCTTACTTAGATCTTCAAATACGGTACAAACTGTAGGCTTAAGGTACACAGACCTGCTGTACAGTATGGTGAAAAGCAGTGGGAAAAATGCTTTCTTTTAAATTTTCCTTTGGATTAATTAAAACCATGGATTCCCCACGTCTTAAATAAGAAAGGTATTTCTCACATCTAATCCTATGTATGTTATTAATATACCAATAAAATCCATTTAATGCTAACATAGTGTATATGCTTCAGAGTGACAAAATTTGCCACTCTTAAAATAGTACCCCTACTTCAATGAAAACTAAAAAATTGTTTCAAATGAATTTCTATCAGTGCAATTAAAAAGAAAATTTAAACTATTATTGTCTTGGTCTTAATGAGGTTGACCTCATTTTGTATGTATTCATACATGTATCTGTTCTGTATTCAACAAAAACTTTAAGGACAAACTAGTTTGGACTCTTTTGCTGTATTCTTTCCACCTGTCCTGGTTTGAGGTAAAAGAGGACCAATTTTGTTCAGTAACTTTGCTTCTTAGCTGGGCCTCTTCTAACTACTGAAATTAACAGCATACTGTGCAGACACTGTTCACTCCCAGAGTGATAAGACCTGTGTTTATAGCTGATGCCCGGGCATGGTATGCAGAGAGGCTCCTGCTTATCCTTATTGCTGTAACAGCCAAGGGCAACCAACTCTGTTATTTGCTCCGTTGGAGGGTCGGAAGCGGAAAAGCGCAGTGGGGTTCCACCTGCGGGGAGGAGCGGACAGGACAGGTGACCCAAAACTGACCAACAGGGTATTCCATCCCACCTGCCTCATGCTCAGTATAAAAGCTGAGGGATTAAAGGGTCAGCTCTGTCTTTTTTCAATGGCTGACGTCTGAGGAAGATTCTGTTCGCCTCCCCTTGATCCCGATCCTGAACGCAGATCTGGAATCCAGTCCCGTCTGTCACTGAGTCCAGCCTGGGACTTCCCCAGTGCCAGCCGGTGACGAGATGGTCATTCTGGGAGCTTGATATGGTTTTGTATATATTCCATTATTTCCTTTTTTATTATTAATATTTCATTAAAGTAGTTTATTTCCTTCTAAACGCCTAAGTCTCTCTTTCCCCCCTCTGCCTCTCTCTCTCTGAAGAGGGGTAGAGGGGAGCATCTGTCGGTCCCATCTAGGGTCCCCCACATCCCCAGTAGCCAATTCAGCCTAAACCACAACACCACCGCTTAAAAATATGTTAACCTTGAACTAAAGAGCATTAATTCTGAACTTGAAGAAAAATAAAAATCACTGATACTTCAAAAATTGAATACAATCAGTATATTCAATAGAGTACCTTATAATGAAAATTTTCATCTTCAAATTTTTCACCATATATACTTTCTCCACCTGTGCCATTTTGGTTTGAGAAATCTCCACCCTGGACCATGAATTCCTTAATAACTGTAAAAGAAAATAATTACAAAATACAGCAGCAAGGCAGGAAAGGCATGAAGAAAAACAATTCAGAGATGAAGAGCATCCCTGTCACCAGCACCTGCACCTAAATAAAAACGAAAACCACCTTTTATTTAGCAAGTCTCCCCTAAGTACTCCTTTTCAGTTAAGTGAACATCACTTGATATTTAAACGTCTACCTGAAATCCATTTCAACCTGTTCACAACTCATAGTAAACTAGTTTTACTATTACTAATTTACTAGTAAATTTATAATTTACTGTTGTGAATGCATAGTAAAAAAATCTAGTCATAAGGAGCATCAAAAAGTCAAAAACTTACTTTCAGTCAAGTTACTTCTTAAACAAGTGCCCAAAATATTATTTAACATTATTTCAAATACTGATAATGGAGGACTTCTGTTACCAACAGGAAAAGAGAGGATTTCTTAGGACTTACTTCGGTGGAAAGGACATCCTTTATAATGGAGAGGTTTTCCAGTGGTAGGCCCTGTTCCTTTTTCTCCTGTACATAACGCACGGAAATTTTCAGCAGTTTTAGGTACAACGTCAGCAAATAATTCAAAGACAATGCGTCCAACTGAAATGACAAAGAGAGAATGAGACCTATAGTTAAATCCTGTCCTTAGCATGGTGATGTGTTGACCATTACAGGGCAAAGGAAATTAATGTTTCGGACTTGATTACTTTTATTTAGATTACTATTAAATTTACATTTTGGGGTTGCTCCATGGCAGTCGCTGGCAGAGTTACATGAGGTTTTAAGCAAGGTCGTTACCAACAATGAATTTCCACTATCAAGAATAACTTAGGGGGAATAAAGAGAGATTCTGCCAAAAACTACCAAAAACGCCAAATGCATTTTCTGCCAGAAGACAGTGTGTGGGAAACCACACACACATATATTAAAGCCAAATTATGTATTTTAACATGCATGCTTATTTTATGTCTATTTTAATGTACATGTGTAGCTTGTTCAATCAAAAACACATACAATTGAAAAAAGACTGTTATGTGGAGACTTTTATTTAATCAAAAAGCTAATGCCAAGTATGTACACCGACCTTACTCCTCATTCTCCTAAGAAGTCCCAATTTTACTACGACACAGTAACACTTCACGTGCATATGAATAATGGCTGTTTCAGTTACAGATGCTACAAGCAATTGTTAAATCAAAAAATGTACGTTTTAACTACAGGAAGTGAAACCTGAGTAGCTAACAGATCCTGTAATAGTCGATAAATGGATTCTGTGTCAAATTCTCATCTTTTCACAAACGGGCTTCTCAGAGAGCTATTTCTCACTCCTAGCACCTGCCATCAGTTGATGCTCCTGTTTTCTCATCAGCCTCACAGTCAATTAGTTAACATAACTCTACCGGAAGCTAAATGTAAATATATTAATTCTAATTAATACAGGAATGAAAACAAATTAGACAACTGAAAGTCAATAAAAGGCAAATCATCTCACAGACGTTCTTCTTTTATTCTTTTGAGTAGCAGACTGAATAAATAAGAGGCAATATCCCAACCAAAAGGCAGCGTCTACGCCATGCAAATTCTGAATATTCCAGTACCACCCCTGCTTCCACGTTGTTGTTTTCTTATTTCCACTTTGACCGTTTGCCCAGATTTTTGCATGGCCGCTGGCAGCACAGGCAATGCCAAGAGAAGGACGGGGACGGCCGGTCGGCCGGAGTGTGTTCCTCGGCAGACTCCCGCCACCCGGTGAGGCCTGTCAGGCCACCACACGACCCTGCGACATGGCGGAGGGGGTCCACGGCCTGACGGCGGGCATCGCAGGCTGACCAGCCTGTTGCCGCCATCGAGGCCGCGCTGGGCGCACTGAGAGCACGTGTGTGGGAGCCGGCCACCGCCATCGGTACCCCGGGGACCTATATGGTGCCGGTCCGCCCTGCTCGGTAGAGTGAGGCCGTACGGGAGCGTGTCGCCGGTGTCCCTGATGGGGGGTATGTACCTGCTCCCCTGCATCACCCACGCGTACTTCCCCCAGCAAGGAAGCCACGGGGCACGGGGTGCCTACGCAGCCATGTTGCCTTTCTCTCCCTTTCCTCCGGCCTGTTCAGCCCGGCGGGGAAACCTCCGAGGGAGCGCGCAGGGCCCGGCGGGGAGGCCCCCTCCCGCCCCACAGGAGGCTCCTTCGCGGCGGGGCCATGTTT